TGCATTTATCAATATGGTTGATACGAATTCATTGAGTATGAAACCATATTGTTTGATACCTTCTAGTAATTGTAAACATTTTAATGGTTCAGTATTTATATTATATCCATTCATCATAGCTCCAAATGTCACAACATTTTTTTCTTGATCGTTCGAAATAGCTTCTCGGCACTTTGAACATCACCAAACTTCATTAACATATCTATTGCTGAAGTGAGTAAAACATTGTCATTATGAAAATGTTTAGGTATTTGATGAAGAAGTTTTCTTCCAATTTCTTCACCACGACCATTCAAAATTTGTGCACAAGCATTGAAAACAATGATATGAATCACATTGTTGGGATTCAATGGCATTTGTTCAAATAAATCTAATGCTTTATCATTCATATTATTTTCCACGTATCCTAAATATAATTTATTCAATATCTGATAAATTCTTATCGTCAACCTACCTTTCATCATAGCACCATATGTAATGATATTTTTCTTCATCGTTTGGAAAAAATTTTCAGCATTTTCAACATCACCAAACTTCATTAACATATCTATTGCTGAATTGAGTAAAACAATATCATTATGAAACTGTTTAGGCATTTGATGAAGAAGTTTTCTTCCAATTTCTTTAGCACGATCATTAGCAACACGAGCACAAGCACTAAATAGAGTATTGAAAACAACTTGATCAGGTTGGATATTCATTTGATCAAATAAATCGAGCACTTTTTCTGGCATTTTTTTTGAAACAAGATCTGAAAATAAGCTTACATTTGTAACACTAAAATAAGAAATATACTACTTTATTTACCTTTAAACATCGTTGCATGCATATAATTTGATTTTTTATTATTTATTGTCGAGAATAAACGATTCGCATTAATTGGGAACATGATGTTGTTCCAGGAAGAAAACTAAAATGACACAATAAAATTGTTTTCGTCCAACATATGCTTCATTAAACTAATCTACGATACAAAAGTAATTGCCGAAATGTCGAGACATGATTCTCCGCTTAGGTACATAGTAGTGAATCAAATTTTATTTTATTAAGAAGAACGTTGTTGGAACTACAAACTTTTTACCAACCATATTTTTCCAGAATGAATTTAAGAAGGAAGAAAAGCCAAAAACCAAATACCTCTAAAAAAAGCTCTTGCAACTTTACCAGTGAGCAACATCATTTTTTTTAAACTTCTGTTAATTTTTTTAATTCTAGAAGAGAATCAAAAAACACTTTCAATGATGATTTTGTAGCTCAAAATACACTCTTTCTAATTATGTATTGGAAGTTAACTTTGATCGTAGTTTTAATACAAATACACTGCTTTTTCTAAGAGAGACTGAACAATTTGGTTATTCTCACTACATGACCGTTTCGTTGCAGTAAAAAAGTATTCATTGAACTATTTTTTTCTGTTAAATTTCTATGATCTGACATATTTCGAATGAATAACGCAAAATGAGTCGAATTCATGTATGATTTCTGAAGATGGTGGCTAATATTCTTTTAGATTGATAGTTCTTGGAAAAAAGGCTTTTTAAAAAGATTTCATTATTTAAATCTTGTTGATTAAAGGTCAAGAATGAACCTAAAAACTTTTAACAATGCTGATATCAATCGAGTTTTTGATGCGCTACATTTTGATGTTTTTCTTGTGAAAGTTTAGCACAGGTAGCCTAAAATAATTGAGAAAAACAAATTTTTCAAGTCGCAAAAAAGTTGCAAGAATCTTTTTAGAGGCGTTTGATTTTTGATTTTTCCTCCTTCTCGAACTCGTTCTAAAAATATGGCTGGTACAAAATTTGTAGTTCAGACAATGCTCTTCTTAATAAAAAAAAAAAAAATTTGACTCTCCACAATGTACCTAAGCGGAGAACCATGTCTCGACATTTCGGCAATTACTTTTGCGTCATAGGTTATGTTCAGTATAAACAGTATTACATAGTGTTGAATATTCAATTTAGAACATCTATAAAAAACCTAAAGCAATTGATTTTGACATGGAATGTCCTATTAGATAGGCTATTGAACTAACATTAAAACTATATTCTAGATGTTCTGTATCGTGTAATTTTTATGTTGTAAAAAAATCTTAAATATATTGCCATTTGACTGACAAGTTTCGAGAATACCCTAAACAAATGGTATATAATGGTAACATTTTATAAATTTTTGAACTAAATTAAAGTACTATGCGCGTGTCTTTTGATTGCTTTCTGAAGTGCATCTTGTGCATTTTTTTCGCTCTATTGAATCCTTAAGAAACTATTGTCGGTCCGAATGTTTTTCGATATATTTTTTTCATAACAATATTGAAAAACAGCACATAATTTTTAAAATGATTATATATATATTTTTTGTCATATTTCAGAGAATGAATCTTCATAGGTATGTGTTAAAATTATTTAAGGCAAGTCTAAATATATAGTTTTGTAGAGCAAAACTTGTTCTATCTTTTGAGATATAATTCAATTTGATTTGATTAACTTTTAGAAAAAATACTAATCCCATACTGAGAATAGAAATAACCAAACAAACCATAATCATTTATTTTAGGGCTTTATAGAGATACATTCAATGTTACTTTCATATCTATTCAAGAATCATTCCTAGAAGGCTAAAGATTTGGATTTATAGGCTTTTTTATATGCTCTTTCATTTGCAATAATCAAAAACATAGGTGAAAATTTTTGTATGACACGAATTCTCGATCGAACCATAGATCCTCTCTTAAGGCCTCTCAAAAAAGTCACTTTTCGTCAGAATAACCGAAATTAAGATAAACGTAGGGAAAGATAGTCCGTCATCTGATTTCTCATAAGCGACAAAAATTTTTACTCAGCACTTCGGTTTTTTTTCCAAAAATTTTTGAAGATTTTCTTCATCCTCTATTCGAAAAATAAGCTGTTTTTGAAAAAACTCGAAAATCTTTTTCGTTTTTTCTCGTTTTATAGTTTTCGATCGCATCTCCAAGAATTCTCAAAGGAACTTCATTGTAGCTAATAGGATTTTCTTTTGTTTGAAAGAGCCTGCCAAAGTGCAGTACCTATAAGAGTCCACCTCCACACTACAGCCCCAACATATCCTGAAATCCATTTTTGATGGGGGTGGCCTTAAAAAAAGACGCTTGTTTTGTTACTACAAAAAAGTTATGAAAGTTGCCAAAAATCACTAAAGCAATATTTTTTGAAATAAAGAAATACCTACGTTAGATAGTGTCTAGTGTATGTAAAAAAAAAGTTTCAAATCTATAACCATTTACCATTTCAGAGAAACGGAAACGAAACAGTACACTTATTTTTTGTATAAAAATTGGTTTTAAGCCCGCCCCCTTCCCTCCAAAAATAGATTTTTTTAAAAAAGTTCAATTTTCAAGATAAACATATGGGTGTTACCTCTAAAGTATCTAGTTTTAAAATTCACGAAAGTCACTTCCAATTTTGAAAGGTTTCTTTAGAATAATCGATGAACTTCTAAAGCTATCTAGCAAAAAACATGGTACCTAAGACTATAAAGAACTTATAGGCTCATTCGTTTTTATCGTCCATAAGGACAAACAATAATACGGCGCACTGTTGTACATCTACTCGATGAGACGGCTGATGGGCTTTTAATTGATATACAATATAACTATGTTTCTCTCTAATGTATGAAAATGATTCAACAAAATATTCGAGCGTTTTTCTCAAAACTGATTTTTGGCAAAACTGAGAAATTCCGAACAAATTTTTTTTCACTGTAGTTCGTTCTATCGAACTCCAGTTTTTTTTTTATTCGATAGATTGATGAATCCCCATTCGAATGAGGGAAATGAAGTTTGTATTTGGCCCTTAATAGTGAAAAAACCAAAGGTTTTCTTGAAAACCTTCGCTAGGGATTTTTGAGCTTGAAGATTTCAAGAATCGCAAAAATGAAATAAAATAAAAATTAAAAAAAATTCTTTCCCTCATCCGAAGCAGCAAGGAGTTCTCTTTCAAATGAGACTACCTCAGGCATTATAGCTTAAAGTGTATTGAAAAATTCCTTGTTCCCATGGAAGCCCTATTTTACTCCTTGATTGTTCGAAACCTTTCGAACGATAAGGTTTAGAGCCCTGAAAGTTTTTTTTATATATGTACAACTATGAGCCGAACATTCCTAGAAAATTTCGTGAAATTCCCACGCACTATAACGAAAATCGATTTTGGAGAGAGGAGGCGGCCTTAAAAAAATTCTAAAACAAAATTCAATTTTGATTTTCTCCTACATACTCAGAATTTTTCTTCTGTCATTCAAGTTTTTATAGATTTTCTATTTCTGCGCATTTGATGGATGTGAGACTGTAGAAAAATTACATACACATCTTACATCGTTCTTTCCGAAGTCAAAAGAATTTATTTTTAGGCAGACTTAAAGATGACATTTCAAAGTGTATATATATATTAATAAAAAAAACCAAAAAATGAATAATAGATAGAAAGAACTTACTATTTTATTCATTTGCATCAATTTCTTCAATATCTATGTCTTTCATATAAAGAAATAAACCTTTAAGACAAGCACTTAATTTATTAATCCAATGATAATATTCAAAACGAGACGAAATTATTGTTAAAATTATATAAACATAATCGGATAAAGATTTTTCTAGAATATGATTTAAATAAGATACAATATGATCTTCATCAATTATATATCCAATTATTTTCAATATAAACGTTCTTATTGCTGAACTATCTGATAGATTTTTTGATAAATATTCAATTATTTAATTAATAATTCTTGTTTATTTTGATTAAATAATATTAAAACATTATAAATAAGATTTGAATTTGATTCAATAATTTATATTGATAATGTTTAGAAATATATAATTGTAAAAATTATGCAAGAGTATAACATATATAAAAATTTTGATCTGAAAAAAAAAGAAAAGTTTAATAATATGTGAAAAGAAATTATTATCAAATAATTGATAAAGATTATGTTCATAAATTAGAATAACTATTTATAATGATAAATGATAAATAGTACTTAAGGAGATTAAAAATTTATGATGAAAAAGTTGATTAAGATAATTATTATTTTTTTTAATTTTTAATTCAAATATTTGTAAATTTTAATGTAATGAATAAGGTATTAAACGAAGTTAATATTCAAATTTAATAATATTTGTTGAATGATAAGGATAAATATTTTGATAAAATAATTATTTCAATAGATAATTTTAATTATGAATCTTTTTTTGTGAAAAAATTTCATTTAATAATTGAGTAAATCATTCAGAATAGTTGAGAACTATCTGATTGAGTTTGAATTAAAACAAAAAAGAATAAAAATTTTTTCAATTAATTTTAATCGATTTTCATCATCGATATTTATCTTTAATAGAAAAAAAACAATTTTTATTTTCTTATTTAACTAATTTTTTTATATAAAACTAAAGAATCAATTAATTTTTTTTTCATTTCTTACAATGTGCAAAAAAAAAGCTTTTGCTAATGTATTTAAAATGATCTCTAATGCTCAGTATATTTTTGAAAATTTTTTGTTGCTTTTCATATGGATTATTCAGGGAAGAGATAACATAGATGAATTCGCCTTGTACCATTAAGTTAAAGTTATAGTAAATGAATTAAAGTTATTTCTTTACAATGAATTAAGAATTTTCATTTTATATCTTCTATTGGTTTCAAACAATCATCCATACATATTCATTATCATTCCACAAATCCAAAATAGTACCAACAAATTA